TTATGGCGCAAAAAATAAAAAGCCACAGAGGTGATCAAATACTACCAAATAAAGCTCTATTTCTGGGGGAAAAATTGACATAAATTTAATTTATGTACAGCTTTGCATGACCATTTAATTGTCCGTTAGAGTAACGCTGCGCCGTATCGCAAAAATGGCCTGGTCATGAAGGGGGTTAAATCTTCCGAAGGGCAAGTGGTTAATGCGTCTTGGTCCTTTTGGATTTTATAAATTATGTGTGAATTTTATTAAGTTGTAAATTGGGCAGAGGTCTCAGAGTTCGCCCCATGCATGACTGCTTTCTGTGTGGATATTTCATGGCGCACTGTGTGAAAAATCCTTCAGGTAATCAAAGCACTAGGAACATAGTTTTATGATGGATCACTTTCAATCCCCTCCAGATAGTGATAAGCTGTAGGAGTTTTATTATGGTCAGTAGAAACTAACAGGCATCCTGCCAGAACTCGATTAGTGGTTTACAGCTTTGACCAAGGCCTGTGTTCTGGTTTCTGCTGTCCCTAAGTTGAGATAACGGGCTCCTTTTAAAGTGTGTTAAAAATTGAGGGTGTAGAGGAGGGCGTAAAAACAAAAAGGAAAAGCGAGTACTAAGGCAGGGAATTTTCAATCTCAGTGATGTAGTATTCACCGAGCATGAACTTAAGGTTCTAGAGTTAGGTTTAAAATTTGCTCCAGGTAAAGGATGTAACAATTTTAATGCCTTTTATAGACGCACAGAAATTTGTGAGAAAATTAAACCTTTTAAGGAACGTTTTGCTATGAAGCCACACACTAGAGCTAGAGGCAGCCCTGAATACAAAAATAGTGAACTCAGAAATTGATCAACATCTAATCCTAAAAATTCTTCCAGTCAGTTCCTAGAAGTCTTTATGTCCTTTGGTGGAGCAAGATATTAGAATGTTAAAAACTAAGCCGAAATGTAAAAAAAGGAAATATCCAAAAAAGTATCGAGGTGTTGGAGAAAAAGAAAAAATGTAGTAAGACCAGTGGACAAGGTGTGGGGGGTGGAAATCGTAGTTTTAAACAAAATTGACTATGAGAAAGATTTAGATAGGTTGGTTAGTAGGAGACTACTACTTTAAAAAAAAAAAAATTGGCACAGGACCCTGCTAATAGGTACAAGGCTAAATTGAACAAATTAATTAAAGAAATAAAAAATAAGGGAATATTGACTAAAAAGGAAGCAAAGTGTCATCCTTGAAGCACCTAGTGCTCTATCTATAGTATGATCTATCAACTACCTAAAGTTCATTAAAATAAAAAGAAGCCCCCCCAGGGAGAGCTATAATTAGTGGTATTGATCCGCTTTTTTCATGTTTAGGGGAGTATGTGGATTATTTTTTGCAGCCAGTAGTTCAAGAATACCGCCCATATCTGAGCGATAGCAAACATTTGATTAATATTTTGAATCCCTGTGGAAGATGACTCGTAACAATTGACGTTGAGTTATTGTATACGAGCATAAAGCTACAAGATGCACCGTCGACTACTAAAACCTTTTTACCTTGGAGACACCCTTGGCAAAAAGTTTAAGATCTCAGGGTGTCACGATTGCACGATCGCCGCCACCAACATGCGACAATCGCACGACCGCGACCAACAATAATACGTCACGCCCGCGGCGTCAGACCCCAGACCTTCTCACTCACCAAACTCATGACCGAAGGACCGGCCGATCTAAAACCGCGGTGTGACACGTGTAACAAGGCCACACCCAGCTGCACCCTGCACAGCGATTGTCCAGCTAATGGGCTACAATCGGTGCCTGCAGCCTGAATGCGCTTGTTACTGGGTCGGGTTAATTACGCAACTAACCCTCTACTGCCACCACCACTTTTGTCGGAGACTGGGAAACTCCCGTTCTCAAATATACACTATAATGATTGAAATATTGATCTATATAACACGGTCCGCAGGCCTGTTATACAGAGATTATAACAAACAGTAGCGTCTCTTCAAAGGCAGGAATTCGTGAATTGCAAGTAAGCTCTTAAAAACAGTTTAACACTTTCAGAAAGAAAGATTTATTACTAAAAGAGTCAAACAGGTGCAATAAAATATTTACAAAGGGACGTCACTCAGATATATATTTATATATACACATATAAAGGTACAGCAAAGAGATAATAGGAAGGAAGTTACAGGGTTAAGTTACTTGCCAATATGCCTTGGTTTTAAGCGGATCCAAGTTGCAGAGCAGGAGGGTCTTTGATCTCCTCTGTTACGATGTTAAGATCAGGAGATGTGTTTAGCTTCGCCTTAGGCTTGCCAGCCTGACTTTTTTTAAAATCCCTCTGCAGGGGGGGGGGGGGGGGGGGGGGGGCGGCTCTGAACACTGGCCACTACGCTGTTTTGGGAGGGGTCAGTCGGGAGAACTCTGAATTAGAACCAACATCTGTCATAATCCATGACATGAAACATAGGGGAAAAAACCTGACTTAAGGAATGTTCATTTCATTCTGTCATCTTTAACTGTTCGGTTTTGTGCGGTTACAATCTCTTTCAATATCGGGGAGAAACTGCCTTATCTGTTTTATGATGGGTGAGCCTACGCAAGTTCTGGGGTCACGCTGGCCTTATTAGGTGAGGAAGGCTACACTTTCGCAGACTGCCTGGCACCGGACTAAGGATGCCTTAACCTGGGTTGACCCACACCATCTGTCAGGATATAACGTTTGCCTCTCAGGAAGGGAGGGGGGTAGGGAATGAAGGACTGAGGAATACTTCTAAATAAAAAAAAAAGGGGAACTCCGCGTCCCACTCTGATGAGCAAGTTTGCTACACAGGGAATCGCTGAAAAAAAACATTTCAGATCTATAGCTCATGGAACATTGGATCTGATCAGCGAGCTGTAGATGTGACAATAATTAAACAAATGCAGAGCAGCGCAGCGAAGCTAATGTAACATGTTTTTTCCCCTTAATCCCCTCTAGCCCTCGTTTTGTCCATCCCAAGTGATATCCCATATAAGAGTCTGGGACAGACAGAAGAGGAGGACCTGTGGGGGGTACAGTGCTGTACATAAAGTGTGCTTATGTGCACTGCTCTGCAAATCCGCAACACAGGCTTTCTCAAATGGGGTTCCACCGCAAATAAATATTGTGTTGGATGTATATCCGACAGTACGTATTTACCTGATGCCTGCTCTGTAGTTGCGGTTCCTGTGAACTCAGGGGGCCGCATTGAGAGGAATGCAGAGAGTTGGAAGACGTGCCTGGATCAGGAGGTGACATCCTATGTATGGCAGGGGTGAATGCAGACTGTGGAGGGGGGAAGCAAAGAGAGCACATGAATGAATGTAACAGGGGGTGACATTCAGTGTATGGCAACACTGAATGCAGACTGCAGGGGCACGTGGCTGCATGAGATTGAATGTAGCAGGAGGTGAGACCATAATAGTTTTATGTAAAGTTATGACATAAACCTAAAGCTATTCTTATCTCAAACCACCCAAACAAACGCTATCCCCACTCCAGTCTATCCTGAACTCAGCGGCTAGACTCATCCACCTCACCAACCACTCCACATCTGCCACCCCACTCTGCCAATCCCTTCACTGGCTCCCGATTGCCCAGCGCATCAAATTCAAATTACTAACTCTGACCTACAAAGCCATTCACAACGCCGCCCCAAACTACCTAACTGACCTGATACCCAAATACCACCCCACCCGTGCCCTTCGCTCCTCACAGGACCTCCTACTCTCTAGTTCCCTGATCTCCTCCTCCCACGCCCGACTGCAGGACTTCTCCAGGACTTCCCCCATCCTCTGGAACTCCCTACCCCAATCCATCAGACTGTCATCTACCCTCCTCACCTTCAGGCGCACCCTGAAAACCCATCTCTTCAGGGAAGACTACCCCACCCTCACCTAACAACCGATCTCCTCCACTCCTCCCACCACTTCATCCCCCACAGCCACTTCCTCCTGTACCACTATCCCCTCCCTCCTAGATTGTAAGTTTGAAAGAGCAGGGCCCTCGAACCCCTCGTGTATTGTATTATTACTGTATTGTCTCATGTTCTGTCCCCCTCGCTATTGTACAGCGCTGAGCAAACCCTTTGGCGCTATATAAATACTGTATTATAATAATAATCTCACCTCCTGTTACATTCAGCCTCATCCAACTGTGCTGCCCCTCTCTGCAGTCTCACCTGAGTCCAGTCACTTCACTGGGTGAGGGTTTACGACCACTTTAAGGCCAGATCTAGAATGGTAGGCAGAAACTGTAATGGTACCCTGCTAGACTCCTCTAACTGTATCTGAGAATGAAAGTTCAGACAGTGGAGGTATTGAATAACTTAGCTTAGTTACCTTATTTTTCGCTCCATAAGACGCACTTTTTTCCCCCCAAAAAAGGGGGGAAAATGTCAGTGTGTCTTATGGAACGAATATAAAGCGGCCGGTCCAGTATTTTTGCGACCACCATGTCAGAATACTGGGCCGGCCGCTCAGCTGTTGTCTCCTGCAGGGCCTTACCTGTTCCTCGCTCCAGCGCTGCACAGTCTTCCCGCGCTGGCTTCTGTGACGGCCGGGTGCCCACTGCGCATGTGCTGCGCTTTGTGAATGATCCGGTGTCTTCTGGGACACATGACAGGTCCCAGAAGGCGCCGGGCCATTCACAAAGCGCAGCGCTTCTCCGCATGCGCAGTGGGCACCCGGCTGTCACAGAAGCCGGCCCGGGAAGAAGAGGGAGCGACAACTCCGCGGAAGTGGGAGCGGGTACCTGTCAAATTCAGGTACCCGCTCCCCCTCCCTCCCCAAAGGTCAGCAGTCTCTGGTCATCCCCAGCACTGTCTGCAGTCTCTGGTCATCTCCTGTACTGTCTGCAGTCTCTGGTCATCCCCTGCACTGTGTCCGCAGTCTGGTCATCCCCTGCACTGTGTCCGCAGTCTCTGACCATCTCCTGTAGTATGGCCGCAGTCTCTGGTCATCTCCTGTATTATGTCCGCAGTCTCTGGTCATCTCCTGTACTATGTCCGCAGTCTCTGGTCATCTCCTGTACTGTGTCCGCAGTCTCTGGTCATCTCCTGTACTGTGTCCGCAGTCTCTGGTCATCTCCTGTACTGTGTCCGCAGTCTCTGGTCATCTCCTGTACTGTGTCCGCAGTCTCTGGTCATCTCCTGTACTGTGTCCGCAGTCTCTGGTCATCACCTGTACTGTGTCCGCAGTCTCTGGTCATCACCGGTACTGTGTCCGCAGTCTCTGGTCATCTCCTGTACTGTGTCCGCAGTCTCTGGTCATCCCCTGCACGGTCTGCAGTCTCTGGTCATCTCCTGCACTGTGTCCGCAGTCTCTGGTCATCCCCTGCACTGTGTCCGCAGTCTCTGGTCATCTCCTGCAGTGTGTCCGCAGTCTCTGGTCATCTCCTGTACTGTGTCTGCAGTCCATTGGTTCAGAATATTTTTTTTTCTTGTTTTTCGCCTCTAAAACCTAGGTGCGTCTTATGGTCAGGTGCGTCTTATGGAGCAAAAAATACGGTACTTTTATCTTCTCTGCTGTATGAAGATATGCAGTGAAGTATGAGTTTTCTTGAAAGTGTTACTAAACCCAGGACCCTGCATTCACTCTCCCACAGTACACAGAAAATGGAAGGGCAATTATTTTAGTAAATATAAACTGCTAAATATCTTTTCTCATCAGCAGTTAGAGCAGTCTTATGACTTCTATCAGTGTCCAGCCGAGCACGTTAAAGCTTGTAGGAAGAGTTTTCATTCTGCTCTAGGAGAATGCAAGGCCCCTGACCTCTGTCTGGACAGTGTTGATTGGTCCTGTGCTGATCACATGCACTCTCCCAAGAAAAAAACAAAAACAAACGCCTAACTGAGCATGTGCAGAGTGACTTCACACGATATGTCTTATCAAGAGATGAGGGACACTGGAAGAAGGGGAAGATCAGAGAAGTCGGGATCAAACTATGTTTTTACACAATGCAGAGGATTAACCCCTTAGGTTCCACAGTGAATATAACAAGAATGCTTTACTGCATATACAGTGATTTTTACTGCTGTAGGTTTAGTAACACTTTAAAAGGGTAGCTAAGGGAAGTGTCTTAAGTAGAGATGAGCGAATCGAAGTAGGCGAAGTGGAATTCGCTTCGAATATTAGAAAAATTTGCAAAAATGAATGCATTATGGGTCAGCGCGCCTTGGCCTTCCCAGAAATCCCCGCTCCGTCGCCGCACATGTCGCCGCCATTTTAGGAAAAATTTCGATTCGCGCATCCGAAGTCTGCTTATTTTCGGATTCGGCGCCGAATCCGAAAATAAGCAGACTTCGGATGCGCGAATCGAAATTTTTCCTAAAATGGCGGCGACATGTGCGGCGACGGAGCGGGGATGTCTGGGAAGGCGCTCAGACAAGGCGCGCTGACCCATAATGCATTCATTCATGACATGTGATCGCATTAGCCAATCAGCAGCCAGCCAGCCAGCACTGTGTAATGGTCGAGCTATAAATGGCGGCCATTGTAGAATTCTCCATTTGCCTCCAGTCATTCAACAGAGGCAGACCTGGCTGTATTCAGGGAGAGAGTTAGGGACACAGAAACGTTACTTAGGGACATAGAAACGTTAGTTAGGGACACAGAAACGTTACTTAGGGCCACAGAAACGTTACTTAGGGACATAGAAACGTTACTTAGGGCCACAGAAACTTTACTTAGGGACACAGAAACGTTACTTAGGGACACAGAAACGTTACTTAGGGCCACAGAATCGTTACTTAGGGCCACAGAAACGTTACTTAGGGCCACAGAAACGTTACTTAGGGCCACAGAATCGTTACTTAGGGCCACAGAAACGTTACTTAGGGCCACAGAAACGTTACTTAGGGCCACAGAAACGTTACTTAGGGCCACAGAATTGTTACTTAGGGACAGACACAGAATTGTTACTGAGGGACACAGAATTGTTACTGAGGGCCACAGAATTGTTACTTAGGGCCACAGAAACGTTACTTAGGGACACAGAATTGTTACTCAGGGACAGACACAGAATTGTTACTGAGGGACACAGAATTGTTACTGAGGGACAGACACAGAATCATTACTTAGGGCCACAGAATCGTTACTTAGGGCCACAGAAACGTTACTTAGGGCCACAGAAACGTTACTTAGGGCCACAGAATTGTTACTTAGGGACAGACACAGAATTGTTACTGAGGGACACAGAATTGTTACTGAGGGCCACAGAACTGTTACTTAGGGCCACAGAAACGTTACTTAGGGACACAGAATTGTTACTTAGGGACAGACACAGAAATTGTTACTGAGGGACACAGAATTGTTACTGAGGGCCACAGAACTGTTACTTATGCAGGCCACAGAAACGTTACTTAACAGAATCGTTTTTTAGGGCGGCAGAATTGTTACTTCGGGACGATTTTCAGATCGTTACTGGGCGAGGGACAGGCCACAGAATTGTTACTTAGGGCCGTTTTTTTTTTCCGGTAAAGTTGGGCCAAAGAAACGTTACTTAGGGGCACGATTTTGCCAGATCGGCCGAATTTTACTCGCGGCAACAGAATTGTTAAATCGGGCCACAGAATTTTACTTAGGGAACAAAATTTACTGAGGGCATGAGCAGTGTTACCTGCAGGGAAGACAAAAAGAAGAAAAAGGGAAGAGGACAAGAAGAGGATGAAGAAGACACAGAAAGGAAGAAGAAGAGGGAAGACAGAAGAGTTACTTGAAGGGCCAAGAAGAGGATGAGGGATGACAGAAACGTTACTTAGAAGAAGAAGAAGAAGAAGTTACTTAGGGACAAGAAGAAGGGCCAAGAAGAAGAGGATAAGAGAGGATGAGAATGTTACTGAGGGAGAAGAAGAAGAAGAGGGCCACAGAAATGATACTTAGGGCCACAGAAAGGTTATTAGGGATACAGAATGAACTAGAGGATGATGAAGAAGAAGAATTGTTACTGAGGGCCACAGAAGAGGTTACTGAGGACAGAAGGAGGAGGAGGGCCACAGAAGGAGTTACTTAGGGACGAGGAGGAGAATTGTTACTGAAGGCACAGATGATGAAGAAGACTGAGGAGGAGGACAGAAGAAGTTACTGAGGATGATGAAGAAGAAGAAGAAGAGGGGAGGACAGAAGTTACTTAGGAGGAGGAGAGGGACACAGAATTGAAGACTGAGGGACATGAGATGATGAAGAAGGCCACAGAAACTGTTACTGAGGGAAGAAGAAGAGAGGATGTGAAGAGGATGAGGGACACAGAAATTGTTACTGAGGGACAGAAGTTATGAGGGCCACAGAAGTTACTTAGGAGGAAAATAATTGTTATTCGGGTCACAGAAAGTTACTTGCAGGGAGCTCTGCTATTTCTGACAGTTCTCTGAAGTTCTTTGACTTTTAGGGGTTGAACAGACATTGTTACTGATCTATTTGTTTCCGAATAAAAACATCTGTATCCTAGGAAACAGAATAGTTACAATGTTTCAACACTGAAATGTGAAGGAACTGTCAGAAATAGTTACTGCAGGGACACTTTTTGCCAGCTGTTACTTAGGGATGAAAATCGGCCGGGATTTTTTTTACCATTGAAACGTTACTTAGGGACCACAGAATTTTCGTTTTTTAAAAGAAAAATCTGCCAGAATTTTACTCCCCATCTATGGCCTGTTACTTAGGGCCACAGAAACGTTACTTAGGGACACAGAATTGTTACTCAGGGACAGACACAGAATTGTTACTTAGGGAGACACAGAATTGTTACTGAGGGACACAGAATTGTTACTGAGGGACACAGAATTGTTACTGAGGGACACAGAATTGTTACTGAGGGCCACAGAATTGTTACTGAGGGCCACAGAAACGTTACTTAGGGCCACAGAAACGTTACTTAGGGCCACAGAAACGTTACTTAGGGCCACAGAAACGTTACTTAGGGCCACAGAATTGTTACTTGGGGACAGACACAGAATTGTTACTGAGGGACACAGAATTGTTACTGAGGGCCACAGAAACTGTTACTTAGGGCCACAGAAACGTTACTTAGGGACCACAGAATTGTTACTTAGGGACAGACACAGAATTGTTACTGAGGGACACAGAATTGTTACTGAGGGCCACAGAACTGTTACTTAGGGCCACAGAGAAACGTTACTTAGGGGACACAGAATTGTTACTCAGGGACAACACAGAATTGTTACTTAGGGACAGACACAGAATTGTTACTGAGGGACACAGAATTGTTACTGAGGGCCACAGAATTGTTACTTAGGGCACAGAAATGTTACTTAGGGCCACAGAAAGAATTGTTACTTAGGGCCACAGAATTGTTACTTAGGGACAGACACAGAATTGTTACTTAGGGACACAGAATTGTTACTGGGACACAGAATTGTTACTGAGGGACACAGAATTGTTACTTAGGGCCACAGAATTGTTACTTAGGGACACAGAATTGTTACTCAGGGACAGACACAGAATTGTTACTGAGGGACACAGAATTGTTACTGAGGGACACAGAATTGTTACTGAGGGACACAGAATTGTTACTGAGGGCCACAGAATTGTTACTTAGGGACACAGAATTGTTACTTAGGGACACAGAATTGTTACTGAGGGACAGACAGAATTGTTACTGAGGGACAGACAGAATTGTTACTGAGGGACACAGAATTGTTACTGAGGGACACAGAATTGTTACTGAGGGACACAGAATTGTTACTGAGGGACAGACACAGAATTGTTACTCAGGGACAGACACAGAATTGTTACTCAGGGACAGACACAAATTGTTACTGAGGGACACAGAATTGTTACTGAGGGACACAGAATTGTTACTGAGGGACACAGAATTGTTACTCAGGGACACAGAATTGTTACTGAGGGACAGAATTGTTACTGAGGGACACAGAATTGTTACTGAGGGACACAGAATTGTTACTGAGGGACACACAAATTGTTACTCAGGGACACAGAATTGTTACTCAGGGACACAGAATTGTTACTGGGGACAGACACAGAATTGTTACTGAGGGACACAGACACAGAATTGTTACTGAGGGACACAGAATTGTTACTGAGGGACACAGAATTGTTACTGAGGGACACAGAATTGTTACTGAGGGACACACAGAATTGTTACTCAGGGACACAGAATTGTTACTCAGGGACACAGAATTGTTACTCAGGGACACAGAATTGTTACTGAGGGACAGAATTGTTACTGAGGGACACAGAATTGTTACTGAGGGACACACAGAATTGTTACTGAGGGACACAGAATTGTTACTGAGGGACACAGAATTGTTACTCAGGGACAGACACAGAATTGTTACTCAGGGGACACAGAATTGTTACTGAGGGACACAGAATTGTTACTGAGGGGACACAGAATTGTTACTGAGGGACACAGAATTGTTACTGAGGGACACAGAATTGTTACTGAGGGACACAGAATTGTTACTGAGGGACACAGAATTGTTACTGAGGGACAGAATTGTTACTGACAGAATTGTTACTCAGGGGACACAGAATTGTTACTCAGGGACACAGGGTTACTGAGGGAC